TACGACTGTAACTCTAAACTTCAGTATAAAACACTCCTTGACATAAGAATGCAAACAATCACCCACCTCTCACTGCGTCTTGCACGCTAAAGACAAACACTCTATCAACTCCCTACAAGTGATCATTTAGACTTCCCTTCCACCTCTGGAAGTTCACTACCCTGATATCTTCAGGTTCTTCTGGGCTTAACTACCAGGATCCTCTGCAGCTCCTCCAGGCTGCTACCATGAAGTTTTCCTTGAGCAACTACGGTGCTTCACCCTTCTGCTAGGGACCTCCACAGCTCTCTTGGCTGCTACACCATGAAGTTCCCTCGAGCAACTATGGTGCTTCACCACCTCTACAGAAGCACGTGACACTCCTCTTCACTAGCTGCTTCTCCTCACAGCTCGAGGTCCTCTCCTCCACTATCTTGGAGTCTCATCAACTACTTCCTCTGTGCTGGCTTCGAAGTTCTCAGCAACTTCTTCCCCAAAGACAAACCTGCAACCCATCGACACTCCAATAAAAATGTTTCCCCTCAAACACATAAACAAAAATCACCACACAACATGCTTACCAGTGTTACGACCCTGGGTTCTCCAGTGGAAACCAGAGGTCAAAATTGAGCTATTAAAGTTTCTGGTAGTACAGTTGGGCATCTAGAATGTCAATTGTTTGTATCTTCCCTGCCAGACGTAAGACTATTATTGTTTCTCAAAGAGCATTTAAAGACTGAGCTGGGGTTGATTATTAAATAATAACATAGGCACCAACTTTGCTTACTAATAATTTCTAATCATTCATAAAGTAACAATACGTTGCATAGGGGAAGATCTTTAATGTGCTTAGCTGCACGATCAATTAGGCTCCTCCCGGCACCACGATGAGGGAGGCAGCTGGTGGCTAGCTCGCTCTTCTCTCTGGCTGGTGTGTGCGGATAAGACCTACTCTGTGGCTGTATCCCTACTCTTCTCCCTTCTCCTCTTACTTATTTCCCTTACCTGAAGTTCCTGTATCCTTAGGCTAAGTACGGGGCATCAGTAAGTGTACCTACTCTGGTAGTAACTATTGGTGAGACCTGGGGTTAGTATTTGCCAGTGTTTTGTTTACCCTAAGAGTTGTGTTTTGTATTAGGGTACCACATGGTCTCACTACCCTAAGCTGCATCCAGCTTCAGTGCTTATCCAGTAGTACTTTACCCTAGCTTGTTATTAGTGTAAACCTTGTATCCTGTCTATGTGGACCAAGGCTTTTAACGTAAGATAGTGTGGTAAAGTTATTATTATTATTGTTATTGGTGTGAGTGTATATGGGGGGTTGTTAAGGGGTTAATAAATAAGTACATGAATTACAGAGTATCTCTTCTTCCAAGGTGGGAGCGCAGTGATCAACCCTTAGACTAACATATATGGTCTTGTAGCAAGTTATTACTACTGTGGATAGTTTATTTTGGGGGCCGGGCCTTTTAGCTCTCCCATATTTGATACTCTTGTCTTCTAACTACCTTTACCCCTGAATAGTACCAGTACCCCATAGAAGCCCCACTCATATCATTTGTAACAACCTCCAACCTCTATCTGCTCTCTACATACTGTGAGAGTGGACTTCCCCGTTTTGGGCTGGTCCATGCTCCACCTCGCCCTCACTCACTCTGGGAGGGTCCTCCACCGCCAGGAGCTGGGCTCGTCAGTTGGCTTCAGGCGGTCGACGGGAGAGGACACGCTGCTCGTCCCTCCAGCTGTCTCTCTCATCTCCGTCCTCTCATTTAGGCTTCCTGCCTTACCAAAACATGTCTAATTTATCAGTAAGCATACGCTACTATCGCTGGGCACACTACCAACTACAAGCAATCACTATGAACTAGCTTAAATCGTGCTTACCACAGATTGTCTGGTCGAGGGCGCTCCTCCCTCTGACTGAGTCTGGTCAGGGCACTTCCACGGCCCACGATAATGTCTCTGGGCGGCTTAATAAACACTCCTCGCCGTCCAAGACTTGAGACCACAACGTTCCCAGCTCGATTCTACAGCTGGCACGTCTGCACACTTCTCCTCTCTTGGAGATATATCACTAGGGGTTCCTTTCTGACAGGAGCTCAAACTGAGCGCAGTTTCCCCCTGCGATGTCTGGCACTCAGTGAGGTCAAAGCCCTCCAGAAGTGAAGCTCACGCCTCCAGCAAACTATCCACATCTCCTAACCAGTCATTTATCTAATTTCTTATTCATTGCCCATTATCTTAAACTCTGTGTAAAATTTACCCAATTATTTTTACATATATATCTTCATGTCTGTATATCTCCGACCTCCTAGTTAGGTCAGGCTTGATAGAATAATTCTCAAAGGGAGACTCGTTTTTCGGCTACCTGGGATCATAACACAGGACAGACTGATCGGCACCCTTGACTCTGAAACTGGCGAAGATATACTCCCCACAGCAGTCTCTAGTTCTAATTACTTTTAAGCATGTTAGTTCTTGGTGGTAGTAAGAGCAGTACCACCACCAATCTGAATTTGAAGACAGTTGTGAATTGCCAAGTAGTTAGGCATGTTAAAGAGTTGAGTAGTATCCTCTTTCAACCACGTTTCAGTAAGTAAATAATAAAAGAGAATTTGTTGTCAATAGTTTCAATCAAGGCACTAACATCATCGAAGTGTTTACCTAGGGATCTAACGTTCAAGTTGATTACAGAGATATTGTGATTATGTGTTAATACATTGTTTACATCGTGTGCTGTAAAATATCTGCAATTTTGATCATTAAAGTGATATGATTGTCATAGATAGTGGATAAGAGGTTTAGTTCTGGGTCTATACTTGTCTGCATAAAAAGGCTGGTTGTAGGAAAACAAGGCCAGAATGGCAATTACAAAATAGAATTTTGATATAAAAGGAGGAAAAAATATATAAACAAAATTAAAAAAATAAAAAATAAAAATAAAATGTTTATTTAGGTAAGGTACATACATACAATAAATTTTTACAAAGATTGGTTGACTTATAGGTAGAGCTAGTACATACAATGCCTAAAGCCACTATTACGCAAAGCGTTTCGGGCATGATAAACTTAAATGACAAGCTTAATACTAATTGAGCATAATGAGTAGAATGAAAACAAGAAATGAAAACATAGATGAAAAAGCAGCACAAATACAATTATGTCGACAAACAGCGCTCTTTAAAAAAAAAAAACAGACATTGGTTGACAATAGAAGGGTAAGGTAGGTTACAGGGAATTTATTAGGTATAGCTTCGTTTTTAACTTAAACTGGTTGAGAGAGGTACAGTCTAACATGGATGGGAAGGTCATTCCACATTCTGGGCCCCTTGATTTGTAGAGCATTTCTAGTTTGATTAAGTCGTACTCTAGGAATATCAAAACTGTATTTATTTCTGGTGTGGTGCTTATGGGTTCTGTTACATCCTTCTATGAAGCTTTTGAGATCAGGATTGGCATTATAGTTTAGCGTTTTATATATGTATAATACACATGAGAGAATGTGCAGTGATTATACAAAACAAACACAAAATGAACAAAAAAAAGAAAAAGAAAAATGAGGCAGCTTACAAGGGGCTTACAGGTACTCTCAGGTACACTGTAAGTAATAATTTGCATTTTGAGACAGGCAAAGCCAGGGGTACAATGGAGTAAGGCTTTATTAGTAGCTATTAGTGGCTTTAGGTATTGTATATACTAGCTCTATCTGTAAATCCAACATTATGTTTGTAAATCAACTATGTATGTACTTTTCCTGAATAAAAAAAATAATTTTTAATTTAATTTAATTTAATTTAATTATTAGCACATTTAGAAAACGTGAAAATATATTGTGCTGGGACTGGAGTGGCCGGGGCTACTGCTGCTGCTTCCAGCTGTTGTTGTTTTTGTTCTAGATTTAGCTACTCAGAACGAAATATCCAATTAGCACGGGCTATAGTGAGTTCGTAAGCTTCCAGCTGTAATGTATATTTGAAATAGTGTTAATATAGTGAAGTGAACATTTGAAACTCCTGCCTGCACGGGAGAACTTGTTTCCTTCAAAAAGTATATAGTCGTATGGTATTATGTATAAAGAAAGAATTCCAAGTATAATTCTCACAAGCAGTCTCCGTGGTGTAGTGGTAAGACACTCGCCTGGCGTTCCGCGAGCGCTATGTCATGGGTTCGTATCCTGGCCGGGGAGGATTTACTGGGCGCAATTCCTTAACTGTAGCCTCTGTTTAACGCAACAGTAAAATGTGTACTTGGATGAAAAAACGGTTCTTCGCGGCAGGGGATCGTATTCCAGGGACCATAGGATTAAGGACTTGCCCGAAACGCTACGCGTACTAGTGGCTGTACAAGAATGTAACAACTCTTGTATATATCTCAAAAAAAAAAAAAAATTATTGGAAAAATAAGCAGAAACATAAATGATAAAATAGAAATCCTGTTATTGGCAAAAAATAAAAGTAAGAAAAACAAAATATGAATCAGAAAAAAACATTGGAACTGTTTTTAGCGTTAGTATGTATGTAAACAGTTAGTATGTAAACAGTATGAGCGTTAGGCGCCATTTTGTCAGGAACAGCTGGCGAGTGCCCAGACTGGAGCCTAAAACCTTGTCACAAACTGTACCTATCACAAAGAAGAAGCACCACCAAGTGCTCACATCAAGACTAACTCTAACAAACAACACTCAAGCCTTGCCACACCGTCAAAATTGACGCGTCTCCCAACATCACCACTCATGCAGTCATCCGATGGGGAAAACCTTCACACAAACTGCACCTGTCATAAAGAAGATGAAGACTCACCAGTGTCCAAAGTGTGCGAAGGTATTCACTTATCTTAGCGGTATGAAGAGGCACATGTTAGTACATTCGGATGAGAAACCTCATGAGTGTCCAGAGTGTTGGAAGAGATTCAGTTGTCTTCGATATGTGAAAAGACATAAGTTAGTGCATTCGCATGAGAAACCTCATGAATGTCCAGAGTGCGGGAAGAGGTTCAGGGATCTTGGAAATGTGAAGGTTCACATGTTAGTGCATTCAGATTACAAACCTTATCAGTGTCCAGAGTGTGGGAAGAGATTCAAGTGTCTTAGCTATATTAAGAAGCATAGAAAGGTGCATACGGATCAAAAACCGTTTGAATGTGCTGAGTGTGGCAAAAAATTTAGAGAACGTGGACATATAAATCGACACTTGTTAGTGCATTCAGGTGACAAACCTCACGAATGTCCAGAGTGTGGGAAGAGATTCATTTGTCTTCGAAATATGAAGGCGCATAGGATGGTGCATACGGATCAAAAACCTTTTGAATGTGCTGAGTGTGGCAACAAATTTAGAGAACGTGGAACTATAATACATCACATGTATATACATTCAGGTGACAAACCTTATGAATGTCCAGAGTGTGGGAAGAGATTCCGTCTCCGTGGAGCCATGAAGAGGCATAGGATAGTGCATACAGGTCAAAAACCTTTTGAATGTGCTGAGTGTGGAAACAAATTTAAAGAACGTGGAACTATGATAAAACACATGTTCGTTCATTCAGGTGAGAAACCTCATGAATGCCCAGAGTGTGGGAAGAGATTCATTCGTCCTGGAGATATGAAGAGTCACTTTTTAGTGCATTCGGGTGACAGACCTCATGAATGTCCAGAGTGTGGGAAGAGATTCAGTCGTCTTGGATATGTGAAGACTCACATGTTAGTGCATTCAGATGAAAACCCTCATAAATGCCCAGAGTGTGGGAAGAGATTCACTCGTCCTGGAGATGTAAAGACTCACATGTTAGTGCATTCGGGTGACAAACCTCACGAATGTCCAGAGTGTGGGAAGAGATTCATTTGTCTTCGAAATATGAAGGCGCATAGGATTGTGCATACGGATCAAAAACCTTTTGAATGTGACAAGTGTGGCAAAAAATTTAGAGGACGTGGACAATTAATACGACACTTGTTAGTGCATTCTGGTAACAAACCTCACGAGTGTCTAGTGTGTGGGAAGAGATTCAATCGTCCTGGAAATATGAAAAGGCACAAGATGATACATTCAGGTGATAGGCTAAACACTTTGAGTGTGGAAGATGATTGAAAGATTGTTGAAGTATAATGATGTCCTCGATGAGGACAGGAAGCTGGCAGCTTGTCAAAGGTCCCCCCATTTGCCCTGATGATCTTTTCCAGCTGTATTTTAAAACCCAGCAGAGTATTGGCATTTACGGCTTTGGCAGGTGGATGGTTCCATGGGTTTACAACCCTATGGGTGAAAAAGCATCTCCTGTTTTCTGTCTTACATTGTGTCTTATTGAGCTTGAACCTGTTGCTCCTCGTTCGTGTTACATCTGACATTTTGAAGAACTTGTCCACATCGACATCTTCTAAATTGTTCAGTATTTTAAAGGTTTCGATGAGATCCGCTCTGTCATGCCTGGTTTGCAGTGTTGTGAGCCCTGAAGCCCTCATCCGTTCCTAACACGAGAAATGACTAAGCTCTGGGATGATTTTTGTTGCTCAGTGTTGCACCTTCTCCAGATCATCTTATTTAATATAAAAGGCTGTCTGATTTTATCTTTTTATGTAAAGCCCTAAGCTTGAGCATTGTTTAATTGGTAGGTACAGTATGATCAATATAGGCCAGCACCAAGTATAGAAGTAGCCTATATGGTTTTGATTGGTTGTTTAAATTCTTGTTGTCTTTTTTGTGAATGATGTGCAGCTATTATTTATTTAGGCTCTATTATTAGTTCACATTATATATAGTAGAATAATGTGCAATAATTGACTTTTACTTAATTTAAAACCTGGTAATTATTATATAATTATTACTTGACAATAGTCTCTACATATAAATTTACTCTCCGTTTTATATAACTATGTGTTCTTTTTATTAGCACATAAATGGTCTTTATGTAACATTGTTTATTTACCCTATGACAATGCTTTGGTATTTGTAAAGTCATAATTCCTAGTTATTAAATTAATTGGAGAAATAACAAACCCTGAATATATGAATGTCAAAAAGCTTTTTGATATGTGGGATATTACTGTTTTCCAGAATCACTGACTTATGATCTTATGAATTTTAAATCCTCTCCAAATTTGTGTAAGGTTCTTTTTATACTGCCAATACTGAAATGTGTGATGATCGGTCAGGCTCTGGAAGACCCTATGGTGGCACTGCTATCCTGGACCTAGATTCAGGAAGCTCTGTGTATTTCTTCGTAAGTGGGTTTGCTACGAAGGTTTCCTTAGTGTGCCCTAAGAAGATGCTTAGGTGCAATTCAATAACGTCCACTTAAGAAGAAATTTGTTGGTTCACCTGCATGTCGATAGAGGTCACTACTGTGTTTCGTTTGGCCAATCAGAGAGCAGCAACATTCTTCATATTGAAGATTTAGTGCTGGCTTATCAGAGCTCTACTGCCTCCTATTTACGTCGAATTTTCTTATAAAATTAGTATATTTCGAAGTAAAACAATGTTTTTTCAATTTCTACAGCCAGCACCGACATTGTAGTAAACAAATATGTTACATTTGTTGTTTACCTATGTAATTCTAAGAGATACTGTGTAGCTGTCCTTGTTGCTCGGAAGATGCACTGACAATTATTGTATATATTTACTGAATTTACCCAAGGGCCACTAACTATCTTGTGGCCTCGAAGAGGACAGTAAGCCGGCGGCTTGTTAAAGGGCCCGCCAATTGTCTTAATGCCTCCCAACACTTCAAACCAATTCTATTTGCTGACGACACAACCTTCATTTACTCCAGTCCTGACCCCCTTGCTCTAAATGCCACAGTAAATACTGAGCTAAATAAAGTCCATCTTTGGCTAACTGCCAACAAACTCACCCTTAACATTGACAAAACTTTCTATATTCTGTTTGGCAATAAATCCTCTAATCAAATAAATCTCAAAATAAACAATACCCAAATTTGTAACAAATTAGATGGCAAATTCCTTGGCATTCTCACTGACCACAAGCTGAATTTCCAGGGACACATTCTAAGTATATCAAAAAAAGTTTCAAAAACTGTGGGCATTCTTTCTAAGATAAGATATTATGTACCACGCCCTGCCCTGGTGACTCTCTATTACTCCCTTATCTATCCATATCTCAACTATGGTATTTGTGCTTGGGGCTCTACTACCCAAAATCATTTACGTCCTCTAATTACTCAACACAAAGCTGCTATTAGGACAATATCCAACTCTGGCCCCAGACATCACTCGGTACCCCTACTCAAATCTCTGAATATGTTAGACATTAATTAAGTCACTGCACATTCTCTCATGTGTATTATACATATATAAAACACTAAACTGTAATGCCAATCCTGACCTCAAAAGCTTCATAGAAGGTTGTAACAGAACCCATGAGCACCACACCAGAAATAAATATAGTTTTGATATTCCTAGAGTATGATTTAATCAAACTAGAAATGCTCTACAAATCAAGGGGCTCAGAATGTGGAATGACCTTCCCGACCATGTTAAAGACTGTACCTCTCTCAACCAGTTTAAGATAAAAACGAAGCTATACCTAATAAATTCCCTGTAACCTACCTTACCCCTCTATTGTCAACCAATGTCTGTTTTTTTAAAGAGCGCTGTTTGTCGACAGAATTGTATTTGTGCTGCTTTTTCAGCTATGTTTTCATTTCTTGTTTTCATTTTACTCTTTATGCTCAGTTAGTATTAAGCTTTAGTCAATTAAGTTTTTCATGCATGAAAACATCTGTTTTCAGTCCTTGAGAGAACATACTCTCCAACACTATATATGTGATTGCCCTGTTATCAGTGACTTCATACCAAATGGTATGAGGTGTTTTGAGCTCTGTAATTACTTCATACACTCAGGAATATTGGAAGATATTCTTGTGCTGCACCCAGATTTTGCCAGTGGAGGCTAATAGATCAGCATTAAGTATTTTGTTCTCTCCTAATTCCATGTATGTCTGGCATCCTGTGAGATGAGAATGTAGCTGGTTTTTGATCTACACTGTGTGGCCCTTTATACAGAATAGCGAAGCAGCACATTGCTGTGTATACCTAAACATGTTTAAAAATACATTGTTTGAGAGGAGTCTTGTAGAAACTGGTAAGAGTAATTATAATATAATGTTTCCATGATTCAGTGCTTACCTCTTGTGAAAATCGCGAAGAGTTGTTTAGTCAGAGTTGATTTGTTTTTTGTATTGAGGCTGGTATTTTCTAAATTGATTCCATGTACAGTATGTCTAACCATCCTGTGAGATGGGAGTATTAGATAAACTTATAGCTAGTTTTTTATCTACACTGTGTAATATTCCTTATAGAATAGGGTAGCAGCACATTGCTGTGTATACCTAATCTTCTTAATAAAAAAAATCAGTAATAAAGATTGTAAATTATAGTTTGTATTATTACAAATACAGTACTGTATTATCCTTATTAAATCATGTTGACCATGGATCATTAAGATCTCATGTTGATATAAAATAAAATAAAAATAAATATGTTTATTTAGGAAAGGTACATACATACAAGTGATGTTACATTAATGGATCGATATATAGATAGAGCTAGTACATACAATGCCTAAAGCCACTATTACGCAATGCGTTTCGGGCAGGAAAAACATTAATATCTAGAACTTAATACTAATTGAGCATAAAGAATAAAATGTGTTGAGAACAAATACAAATAAAGATAAAAAAAGGGGGGAACATGACTGAAAAAGCAGCACAAATACAATAGGTTGACAGTGTTGATTAAAAAAATATAACAGACATGGGTTGACAATAGAGGGGTAAGGTAGGTTACAGGGAATTTATTAGGTAGTGTTTAGTTTTTATCTTAAACTGGTTGAGAGAGGTACAGTCTTTAACATGGTTGGGAAGATCATTCCACATTCTGGGTCCCTTGATTTGTAGAGCATTTCTAGTTTGATTAAGTCGTACTCTTGGAATATCAAAACTGTATTTATTTCTGGTGTGGTGCTCATGGGTTCTGTTACAACTGTAACGGTTCTATTGTTACGTAAAGTATGGTGACAATAAACACAGACACTAAGATACTATATATATATTTGGTCGAATATACAGAAGTACACAGGTGATACGTTGGTGTGAGTTGAGCGCACTGAGCGTTGGTACAGTATCTCGCAAGTGTCTGCTCTAGACCACACTTGAAAGTAGACTCTGGTTAATGTTTGCTATCCTGCTGCTTATATGCCCGGGCAACTCCTCACCGTATTGCCCGGGCAACGCCTCACCTCATTCATCTCCAAAGGTTGACAGGAAAATTAACAATGCATTTGGAGCGAGTATATTATTGGATAATCTACTCGCTACACAACCTTCAATGAAGCTTTTGAGGTCAGGATTGGCATTACAGTTCAGCGTTTTATATATGTATAATACACATGAGAGAATGTGCAGTGACTTAATATCTAACATTCAGAGATTTGAGTAGGGGTACCGAGTGATGTCTGGGGCCAGAGTAGGATATTGTCCAAATAGTCATATTAGGACATAATAATAATAGTCATAATAATAATATATAATAGTCATATTTCTTTTGAACTGCTAATCCATGCTAATCATTCATTAAATTGTGCATTATGTCTCAATTTTTCACCTCCTTGGATATACTGTACAGTACAAAAAGATAGGATAAAAATAAACCAGTAATATTTCTTTCATTATATTTTCATTTAAATAACTGCATCAATATTTTTACAGCTGACAGGATTTGTTTTACCATACAGGTGCATTATTTGTTAAAAAAAATTTTTTTGTGTATTGTTACACACAATGGTGCTACTTAGCCTTCCCAGCTTGGTGCTTTCTTTTAATACTTACTGATTAAAAAATAAATAATAAATACATTTTATTCAGGAAAAGTACATACAGTTGATTTACAAACATAATGTTGGATTTATAGACAGAGCTAGTACATACAATACTTAAAGTCACTAATACTTATAGCATTTCGGGCAAGGTGTGGGGGAAAAAACACAGACTAAAACTTAATAGTAATCGGGATTAGGTATAAATTGTGTTGAAAGAAGGATTAAAAAAAATACAATAAGGGGGGTTAACATAGCATAAATCAGCAATTGCACATGTTGGTGAACAGCGTTGTTTAAAAAATAGCAAGACATGGGTTGACATTTAGGAGGTAAGTTAGGGTTACATGGAGTTAATTAGGCAGTACTTGCTTTAACTCTTAAACTGGTTGAGAGAGGTACAGCCTTTGACATGATTCAGAAGGTCATTCCACATTCTGGGTCCCTTGATTTGTAGAGCACTTTTAGTTTGGTTACACACAGCCAAATTGTGTAACAGGAAGAGGTCTTGGACACAAATTTGTTCCATGCTAAATGTAGAGGAATCAGCTGAGTATTCCTCAAATAAAATAAGTTTCCTCAACTTATAAGGTAAATAAAATAAGCATTTCTCAAATAAGTAGCTGCCTGACCTCACTGCCTTACTGCTACATAGCCTTCCCGGCATGGTGCCTTCTTTTGATAATTACTTGTTCCACACCCAAATTGTATAACAGGAAGAGGTCTTGGACCCCTACTTCCCTCTCTCTTTTTTAATAGTTTATATAGTCATAATTATAGCTATAAGCATTCAATGAATAAAGTTTTTGACATTTTTACCCTTCTCCTTACCTAACATCATTTGTGCAGCATATTTTTATTTTATGTCTCACCCAGATTAAATTTCAAAATAAAACCAAACTAAATAAATTAGAAATGGGTATGTATAGCTAAGGTACACCCTTACTACTAGGTGAACAGGGGCATTTGGTGATAGTAAATGATCCCATCAGGCAGGGCACATCACCTTCTCTCATATTTCATGTTCACCAGTGTTTATTTACTTAATAACTACGGGTGTAATATTTTGTTATTATAAAATACAATACAATACAATACAATACAATTTTATTTAGGTAAGGTACATACATACAATAAATATTTACAAGGATTGTTTAACTTATAGGTATAGCTAGTACATACAATGCCTAAAGCCACTATTACGCAAAGCGTTTCGGGCATGATAAACTTAAATGACAAGCTTAATACTAATTGAGCATAATGAGTAGAATGAAAACAAGAAATGAAAACATAGATGAAAAAGCAGCACAAATACAATTATGTCAACAAACAGCGCTCTTTAAAGAAAAAAACAGACATTGGT